TTCTTGGGTTCAATCTATGAAACAAAAGCTATAGACATACTGAAATTTGTCATATTTCTAGTACTTACCCCTTTTGAGATGTCACCAATTATATTGTCAATTGAAAGTCCTCTTGGTGGTTGCCACTCTTTTACCAATTCCGTTGGTTGAGATTGATCATTTTCATTTAGGTACGTTTCTTCTAATGCTTCCCTTATGTACTCATCATCACTTGCATATTCTTTTCTTGACTCAAGAGGGTTTCCCTCAAGGTCTACAATTTCATCAAATGTAACATGCACAAATTCTTCAATATTCAAAGTTCTTCTATTAAATACCCTATATGTTTTGTTAGAAAGTGAATAACCTAAGAAAATAGTCTCATCGACTTTTGAATAAAATTTACCTAGATTATCTTTACCATTATTTAACATAAACATTTACAACCAAAGATTTTCAAATAAGCTACATTTGGTTTTATTCCTTTAAATAGCTCATAAGGAGTCATTTCCAAGATAGGTGATCGATGTCGTACTTGGTCAAATAATTAAAACAGATAAATGTAGTACTAGGAAGTTTTCCTAGGTCGTCTCCCAAAGACCACAAATTTCTATCAAAGCTTATCAATTTTTAAATTTAGAACAGTAACAAAAAAAAGGGGAATTTTTCAAAATTAAAATATTAGATGAAACAGAACAAAAGCAGATTATAAAAATGCGGATTAAAAACAGATTAAAATGCAATTGATTTCCTGATTCTAATGCAGTGTCACTTATCCTAGATTACCAAATTAATTCGAAATTAACTAACTAAGCGAAGATAAATCCCAAATTATATTCTAATTCGAAATTAATCAACTAAGCGAAGATTAATCTCAAATTAGCTTTAACCCTTGTTCCAATTCAAAATTAACCAACTAAGCGAAGATTAATCCCAAATTTTCCTTAACCCTTATTCCAACATGAAATTAACCAACTAAGTGAAGATTAACCCCAAATTATCCTTATACAATTAAGCATTGCATACATCACATAATCTCATCTCTAACATAGAATTAAGCAAACCGTGATATTAGTTTCGGTTTATTAAGCATAAACAGATTATAATTCAACACTGAGATTAGAAGATGAAGAGTTAAGAGATAAACAAAATGAAATTGAAGAACAAAACCTCAAAGATCTACTTGCATTCTTCTCAGAAAATCAATACAAAGATTTAGCTATCCATGGAAATTCGAAAACGCAGTAGAAGAAACATAATTAAAATCGAAACAAGAATTTAAAATAATGACAGAAGAGTAAACAAACTTGAATATAAATTGCAGAAGATGAAAGGCGGTTGTGTGGTGGCTGCGCAGTCCTTGTGTGTTGTTTTTCGTGTGATGTGCCTCTCTTATATAAATAACCCTAACCCTAATCTTAATCGAGGTTTGGGCTCAACTAGTCCACGAAACACATCATAAGTTGGCTTCAGTGCAAGTCCATGAACTTCAAACACGTGCAGTATTTTCAATACTTATCCAAATTAAGCGATTTTGGTCTCCTTTGAAAGCCTTTTGAGCTAGCTTTAAAACGCCATTGTTTCTACTATTTTTGGAGGTCTAATGAATTAAGGAAACTCAAATTACTGAAGCATGTCTATTGGGCTGGCCTGGTGCGCTTGACCCGTTTTGGATAATTTATGTAAAATCCAATTTAGCTCTGAATTGAATGATTTTGGATCCTGTGGAAAGCTCAATGTGTCTAGTTTATAATTATTTTAGAATAATGTTATTTGGAGATATGTAGAAAAAAATGATAAATGAAACAGTAAACTAATGTTAGTACCCGTATAAAATAAAATATGACATTTGGCCCAATTTTTCAAGCCCAAAATTGCTTTAAACTCGTCCTAAAATTAATAATGAGTAAAAATTAGATCAAATAGATTAAAATTAATTAAAATCTAAATTATTGGCCCAATGAAGCCCAATCAATGAAAATGCACTAATAATAGACAATTAAACACAATGCACCAATTAAGATAAGTACATAAAGATAAGAAAATGCGGGAAAATAATGGCTCATCAATAGGTCTAATGAGCATTCTATTTAAAACATAGCAAGCAGTACTTACAACATCAGCCCAAAAATATTTAGGAACATTAGATTCATTCAACATTATTCTAGCTAGTTCCTCTAGAGATCTATATTTCCTTTCAACTACACCATTTTGTTGGGGGGTTCTAGGTACAGAAAAATTATGTAAAATACCATTCTCTTCACAAAACTTTTTAAAAGATTCATTTTGAAATTCTCAACCATGGTCACTTCTTAACACTTTAATTTTTAATTCCCTTTCATTTTGAATTTGCTTGGCAAACTTTCTAAAGGCTTTAAAAGCTTCGCTTTTCAAGGTTAAGAAAAATGTCCAAGTAAATCTAGAGTAATCATCAACAATTACAAGAGCATAATAATTTCTACCAAAACTTTTGATTCTAGATGGTTCAAATAAATCTAAGTGTAAAAGTTCTAAAAGGTTTGATGTGAAAATTATATTCTTAGTTTTGAAAGATGATTTTACTTATTTACCTTTTTGACATGCATCACATAATTTATCTTTTTCAAATTTTAATTTAGGCAATCCAACAACTAAGTCTTTAGATATTAATTTGTTTAATTGATGCATATTTATATGAGCTGCTCTCTTATGCCATAACCATGAGTTTTCTTCTTTAGCAACCAAGCATGTTATATCAACATTAGATGCACAATCCAAGTCAATCAAATAAATATTGTTATGCCTAATACCTTTTAATGCAACTTCCTTAGAATATTTAAGATGTATGGTGCAAAAATTACTTTCAAAAATTACATTAAGTCCTTTATCACAAAGTTGAATTATACTTAGAAGATTGTGTTGTATCCCATCAACAAGGAGCACATCTTTTATCTCCAAAGTATTTGTACCACCAATGTTTCTAGTACCAATGATTTTACCTTTGTTGTTGTCTCCATAAGTTACATATCCTTGTTCTTTCTTGATGAAACTTGTAAATTTCTTTTTATCTCTAGTCATGTGTCTTGAACATCCACTATCAAGGTACCACATAGATTTTTTGGATTTAGTAGATACCTCACCGTCGGAAGAGAAACTGTTATTTGCCATTAAGCAAAGGTTTGCTTCAACATCGGAATCACTTGACTTTGAACTAGAGTCACTATTCCCCCATGCTATGTAGGCTTTCTTTTTGAAAGATTTCCTGCCTTTAGAATCATCACTCCTTTTGTTGGGACATTCAAATTTTACATGACATGTTTCACCACAACCATAACATTTGTAATTTAATGTAGATCCTTCTTTTTCATTCTTCTTACCTTTGAATAATTGCCTCCCTTTGGCTTTCATGAACTTAGTGAATTTTTTTATCATGACACTCAAGTTTTCATCTTCTTCACCATCGAAACTTTCTTCTTCCTTCTTTTTCTTGTTTTTAGAAATCTCAGTTTTGAAGGCTAAGTTTCTCTTTTGATGTTAGTCTTCTTCATCATTTAGCCTTCCTAGTTCAAGTTCATGCTTTCTCAATTTTTCAAAGAGAGTCATCATTGTCATTGTCGCAAGATTTTGTGACTCTGTGATTGCAGTCACCTTAGGTTGTCATTTTTTGTCCAAAGATTTAAGAATTTTTACATTTAATTCGTCAGTATCAAAATTCTTACCAAGCCCAAAGAGATGGTTCACAATGTGTGTGAAACGCTTTTGAACATAAAAAATTGTTTCTCCCTGTTGCATTCGAAACATCTCATATTCTTGTATCAATGATTTTTTCCTTGCTCTTTTCACGTCATCGATTCTTTCATGAGTTACTCTTAGAATTTTTCACATTTTTTGAGCACTTTTACAAACTGAAATTCTATAAAACTCATTAAGGGTTAAAGCAGACTCATAGCTTTAGTTGTAGGTAGACTTTGTTTTTTAATCATTCTATTCAATTCCACACTAATACAATATTCTCATATGTCTTTCTCTTCTTCCAAACTAAAACACCAAAAATATCAAATTTTAAAAAAAATATTTAAAAGACTTATATATGATTTTCATTTTATAAATGAGATTTTTTTTATTTTATAATAAATAAGATGCGTAAATTTTTATTTTAACTATTTTAAATTTTTATTTATATATGATATCTTTAAAGTTTGAAATTATTAATTTAATATTTTATAGAATTATACTGAATTTTAGATTTGGTCTTTGTGAAATATATTTTTTTATTTTTTTTAAATTGAAATAAATGTTTTTGTTCTTAAATTTTTATTAAATGTTTTTGTTCTTAAATTTTTATTTATTTGAAGATAGATTAATGATTTTTTTTTAATATTATGTGTCAACATTACATTAGAAACATTTGTAAGTATAATATGAAATAATCACTTAATTTTTTATCAATAATAATAATAATAAAATTTCAGACAATAATAAAGATAGAAATTAAAAATCGAATTAATTAATTGAAGAGTAAAATGAAATTCATTAATTATATTTTATTTAAACCTAATAAAAAATATTAGACGGCAGTTAACATTTTCCCTGTAAAAAATCTTCATTGGATGAACAATGGAACAAATTCGGGTAATTAATCAATGGATGGACTGTTATCATTTTCCTATAATTCTTTTTATTTTTCTTTCAAGTTATTTTCTCTATTCTTCACTTACTTAACGTTCAATATATATATATATATATATATATATATATATATATATATATATATATATATTTCCTAGATAAATCTCCAAAACCCAATTGAAAAAAAAAAACAGAATGACATTTTTTTTATAATTAAACAAAGTTAAAATACATTAAATTATATTAGATGGTCGGAAAATTTTGGTTAGGTCAATTTTCATGTCATAGCTTAATATATTAATTCTAATATATATATTTTGCCTGATCTACATAGTTTTGGATGGTACAATAATTTATTTTTTAATAATTGTTTATAAAATGTTATTTTCTTTATAGCTTTGATTTGCATTAAGATGACGAATGGTACGAGATAAATTCTTTTATATTGGATAATTTCTAAAATCTGGAAATTTCCAGATTTAAATGTGTTTAAAGAATGTAATATTACTTCTGTCTTAATCCTCTATAACTTTAAATTATAATTAATTATAATTTTATTCTGTCTTAATCTTCTATGGTATTTTTATATTTTTAAGTATAAATTAATAGAATCTAAAAAAATGGTAGAAAAGTGATGTGGATGTACTTAGGGGAGTAATCAATTTAGCTGGTATAACACGTGATATTTGAAATGACAAAAAAATATTTTAAAATAAAATATATAATTTTCAAAATGAGAATATATTAGGAATTTAAGGTACAAGAAAATTGTAATATACATGTATATATATATATATATATATATATATATATATATATATATATATATATATATATATATATATATATAAAAAAACTTTTCACTATCCCTTCTTCTTAAATTACTAGACTGGTGGATTTTACTGCTTCTTGGTGTGGTCCATGCCGATTTATTGCCCCAATTCTGGCAGAGATTGCTAGGAAGACACCTGAAGTAATCTCCCTGAAGGTGGATGTGGATGAACTGAGGGTAAGCACTTACATACACAAGTGAATCTACTGTCACATTATTCTATTTTTAACCTTAAAACTCAATGTGGACTATTAGTTGCTTTGTAATATACTAATAATTGTTCAATTGCATTGATGTTTTCACAGTGTGGCTGAGCAGTGGTCCATTAAGGCTATGCCAACCTTCCTCTTCTTGAAAGAAGTTAAGTTGGTGGACAAGATTATGGGTGCTAAGAAGGAAAAGCTGCAAGGAACCATAACCAAGCATTTGTCTCCTACCGGTCTTTGGAAGAGAAACAATATCAATGAGATGAGCTCAAATCCAATTAAGAGATTGATACCACCTCCAATTCAAAATCTTAAAACATTAGGTTATAGATTTTACTTGTTTATATGATGCTCAACTTTTTTTATATGTTGTTCAACTTTCTGATTCTTACTCAATATAAGACTTAGATTCACAATTGGATTACCCAACGAAAAAAATCAACAACATTAATAAAACATTCTAACATTTTCTAGTCAGTGTGCATGTATTCTCTATGGCTATGCACTTTGCAGAAACACTGGTGATGAATTAGAACCTTCTATTCACATGCAAATGAATGGAAATTTACCCACAAATTCTATTAGCATTTATGATGATGTTTAGACTTGTGCCCTATTTCTATGATTTTGTTGTAGTGAATGAAGGTGTGAACAAAGTACTAAAAGAGTAGTTTAGTGCTTCATAATCAAGGTTTGTTTTAACTGTAACAATAAAATGCTGCTTCTACAACTATAGTTAGAATCACGTCTGAGTGATTTGTTAGAAAAGTAGTTTTAGATCAAGAGGGGGGGTGAATTGATCTTTGAAAGATTTTCGCAATTAACAGATTATCTATTTGTAAAAATAAGATTTCAGATCTGTTCTTGAATCACAAAGCAATCAATCAACAATGAACGCAACAACAAAATTAAAAGAGGAGAAAGGTTTAGAAAGATATCACCGGTGTTTATATTGGTTCACCCAATACCAGGGCTACGTCCAGTCTCCAGCCAAATTCCAGCTGGGTTCCACTAGATTAAATGTTTTACAGATTACAATCTTACACTTAATCTACCACAAGAACCACAATTCCAGCTTCCGCACCTAACCTTTCACCAAGAACCAAATTCCAGCTTCGACAACCTCTACAACCAAATTCCAACTGTAGAGAAACCAAGTGCCCACAATTCCAGGCACCAAACAATACAAAAAGAATGTAAAGAAATGAAAAGAAGAAACTAGAATGCTCAAACTAGTTTTATGCAATTCTGCAGTGTGTTTCTTCTCCAAAAGAAAGCAATTTGCCTCAAGAAAGAATTTCAAATAACTTCACAAAAACTGGCGCGAATCTTTCTTGAAAGAGTGCTAAAGTTTGCTTGCTTGATTGCTAAAGATTGATGTTCAATGTGTTGTGTAAAATGTTCAAGCCAAACTGTTTTTATAGAAGATTTTCAAAACTGCTAGTTTAATCAATCTGTTAAAATAATCTTTTAATCTGTTAAAAGTGTAGTTTTAATCTGTTAAAACTTCTTTTAATCCATTAAAGCGTTCTTGATTATTTAACAGCATTTGTTTTAACTGATACGACAACGCTTGTATCAATTAAAACTCTTTACAAAAAATCTTCTAATTTGATTTAATCGATTGTTTCGTGTTTCAATCGATTAATATACTGCAAAACTTTATTGTAAAATTTTCCAAGTGATTTTAATTGATAAAAATAAGTTTTAATCGATTAAAACTCTGTGTAGAAATTTTCTAAGTTGTTTTAATCGATTGAAACATGTTTTAATCGATTGAAAAAACTCTGATCGGTCATAACTCAATTCTGATCGATCATATCTGATTCTGATCGGTCATAACTCAATTCTGATCGATCATATCTGATTCTGATCGGTCATAATTGCATTCTGATCGATCATCCTGAATGTTAAGTAGATTTAATCGATTAAAACCAAGTTGTATCAATTAAAATACTGCAAAAACACTTCTCTTAACATTTTAAGTTATTTTAATCGGTTATTTCGAAGCTTTATCAGCTTAAAACATCGACAGTAAGGTTTTCAAAACTTTCTTTATTGAAAACAACCTGTTATTTCGAAATTATATTAGTTAAAAACTTTAAGAAAGCTTTTGTTAAAATACTTTGTTTTTAACTCGCTTAAACGTTTTTAGAGGCATTTTGCAAAATCTTTTAAGTGAAGAAACCTCATGCAAGCAGAAAAGATAAAAATGATTATACCTAAGCATAGTCACTGACACACTAATCCCTCTATTCTTTTATCTAAGTGACTCGTTGACCACTACAAAGTTGACTTTGACTTTATCTTTGACTTCATCAAATCAATAAGATCTTTGACAGAGTATTTCAATAAGATCTTCATCAGTTTCAGTCTCCCCCTATTTGATGAAGACAAACACCACTTTGAATAATAACTCTGCAAAAGAAGTCACTTGATAAAACAGATTAGTGAGTAATAAAGAAATGAATTATTTTCCTATTTCTCCCCTAAATTGTTGCTTCCTAAATAAAGAATTATTTCTGATCAAAAGTAAAGCAACTAAAGAAACTATTCTCCCCTTTTGACTTCATAAAAAAATAGGGAACATAAGAGAAATAATGCAAATGTATGTAATAAGTTTGAGATTTTGAAAATTGGGAAAAAATGAATACGATATCTTACTCATGTAAAGATCAATCAAAGTTGATTCAAACTTATCTTCATTAACACGTTTGTAATGAATACAATTAACACGTGTAAAGATAAGGGAATCACGCTTTAGTAGCATGTTACAAGAACAACCATTAACTAAAACCTTTAATTTTTATTTCCAGAATAAAAATCGATTAAAAACAGGACAAAATCGATTAAAAAGTTCTTGTTTAATGCTTTTAATCGATTGAAATAAAGGTTTAATCGATTAAAACAGTGAAGGACTTTGAAAGTATGAAACATAAGTGCATTTAATCGATTAATTCGACATTTAATCGATTAAAGCAGTAAAGAAAAATGTTGTATAAATCCTTTTAATCGATTTAAACGATTTTTTATTGATTAAAACAACTAGTTTTGCAAACTAAGTAATGTTTTATGCGAATTTATCATGCCTAATCCAGTGTAAGTTTTGAAAACCGATCATTTAGAAAGATGCTTTACAATAATATCAACTACATCGATTAAATTTTAACCAATAGATCCATCAAAATTAGAATAAAATCTTATTTAGCTAATTTAACTGATGTAAACTGATTTATATAGATTTTAATCGATTGATACGCAGTTTAATCGATTGTTTTGTTGTGAAAGTGTTTCCTTTAATCGATTTAATCGATTAAGTTCATTCTGTATCAGCTAAAATTATCAGGGATCTATGTTAAATTCTATCTAGGCTAGTTTGATTTGATTTAAAACCTACATTATATTAACCAAAGCTAAAAATATTGTACCTGGTATACAACCAAGAAATATTACGGACTGTAAATTGAAATTAACATCAAAATAAGAAATAAAAGAAGGATAAGAAGGGACCCTTTTAATCCATAAAATCAATCATCCCAGCTTCCTTGGTTCACCTACATATCTTCCAAACTTGGTGTAGATATCAACAATTTGGTTTTCAAGGGATGCGAATTGATTGTTTGTTTGCTCGGAAGTGTTGGAATGTCATCTCGCATATGCTTTCTCTCGATTTTCCTGCACAATGACCATTTGAGAAAGCATTGTTCTTTCAAACCGAGATAAAGGAGTCCCACGGCCAGCCGCTCCATGTAAGGAATAATTTCCATATTTTCATATGAGGCTTGACCATCTGGTTGACTCAGGAACCTCTGCAAGCAGCTGGAGAGGGAGGAATTTGGCCTTGTTCATTTTCATCTTCATCTTCTTCCTCACCCTCAGACATCACAGCATCAATTTTGGAGATCCATTCATCATCAACTTTTATATATCCCATTTTTCTTAGGGTGGAGTCGTCAATTTCATTTGATGCCTTGGGGGTTTCAATGCTCTCCCGTGAAAGATCAACTTCAAAATATCTAAAGAAATTATTGATTAACATAGCATATGGCAATTTGAAATCTGCCAACCTTTTAGCTTTCAACATGTGATCTTTGATCACATACACCCAGTTTGCCCGAACATTGTTAAAAATGCAATACATGAGGGCAAGATCTCCCTCATTAAGAATAGCATGATTACTCCCTCTTGGAGTAAGCATCTATGCCACAATAAAAGCAAGTAATCTATGTTCAAGTGCAAGTTTTCCAGCATTTAGAATTCTTACCGAATCATTTGGATCCTTAAGGCAAGACCGGAAAAACTGAATCTTGTTGAACTCAGGAATCTCGTAAATATTCCCCTTGAAACTTTGACACCTCTATCCTTAAGGCCAACAACTTGCTCCCAAACAAGTAGGAGTAATTTCCATATTCACTCCCTTCACTTGAGATCTGATTGTAGAACCATTCACTGTTAAATTTGAGTAGAAGACCCGAACCAGATCAGGTTGAATATTCCCTGTGAACTCCATGAAGGTTTTTAGCTTTTGACTTTTTAACTTTCTTCTCAGACTAGTAAAACCTTCTTCGTCCAGCCACCTAAATTTGATAAATTTTGGAATAACAATTTGTTTCTGACTAAACTCAGAGATGAAGGTGTTCATCTTTCCTATATCTCCATCAAACCAGGTTTCCAGATGGCCACCGGGATTTGCAGCAGAGGAAGATTCCCCTTTTTGCTTCTTTCTTGACTTAGATCTTCTCAGCATCTTGTTGTATTTTCAGAGAAGGGGTTCTGAGACGTGTGTACAAGGAAAGAAGGGAGAAGCACTTTGAACCAGGAAGAGAAGACTCGAGAACAATGAGCTACAAGAGAGCAAACCGAAGATTCACTGGATGTCAATTTTCGTGAATTGCAGTTTACTTTAGACAGAACCTGCAAAATCAGCTTTAATTGCATATGTCCCCTTGACTGAGAACACAGGCACAGATTCTTGTACAGTGGGTGTATCAGCTAAACTGTTCTTGGGAAGATGTTTGACTTGGTCAAAGAATATTTAAAAGTATTATGCAGATTTTGATTACCATAAAAACTTGGGATTTTGATTTTGATTTGCTTACCAATTTTCAATTGGATGTTATAAAACTAATTTTCAGAAACAAATTAGTCGATTAACCAACTAATTAACCTATTAATTTGATCTTTAATACTAGGTTTGAAAATGTTATAGTGAAATAATCGATTAATTCATAAAGGAATCGATTAGTCTTGTACTGGATGAAATTAATAAAATGATAACAGAATTTAAATCGATTAAAACGAAAAAGAATCGATTAAATTTGACATCTTAGTGTTTTTAGTTGATATAAATTTCTTTTTAATCGATTAAAACAGCTAAACTCAAATCCTGAGAACATTTTAATCGATTAATTCGCATTTCAATCGATTAAAATGGTACAGACAGATTTTCTGATATCCTCTGTAAGTTATTTTAATCGATTAATACTGTTTTATATCAATTAAAATAATCAGTTTATGAAAGCAGAACCTGATTTGTTGTTTTGAATACCAAGGGACTCCCAGATTTTGTTCCTGCAAAACAAATTTAACATGTTTCTGGTACCC